AACTCTCTGACAAGCGTCTGTCAGTTGCCAGTAGCTCTTCAGCTATAGTTGAGACTTTATGCCTACCCTACCCTCTTCATGCTGGGGTTTTGTCTGACTTGAGATCGTACAGGACTTGGGTACACTGTGAGTTCATATGTGCACTTCCTGTCACTGTATCCCAAATACATGTTTCCTAGAGTCATTGAGTCCCTCTTCCTCTTACAGTTCTGTCTCTTTGCAGAGATTCCCCAGGCCTTGGGAGGGTGTGATATAGTGTCCCTTTTACAGAGGCATCTGTAGTCTCTTATTCTCTGTGGCATGACCTATTGTAGATTCCTCTGTTAATCCAAAAATAAACAAAAAAACGAATGTGCTAAGAGTATACCACCTTAAAGGCACTTTAATGGTGAAGATTGAGAGATGCGCTAATATTTGGGTATAATGATGTCCTTAGTAATCTTCTTCTTCTTCTTCTTCTTCTTCTTCTTCTTCTTCTTCTTCTTCTTCTTCTTCTTCTTATTATTATTATTATTATTATTATTATTATTATTATTTCCATTTTGCAGAGTAGTCGTGCTAGATTTTCCAATTGAGTATTTTACTCCTTTTTAATTGCTGAGTAATATTCCAGTAACTGGATATATACCATATTCTGTTTGTCCATGAAGTGAAGTTTTGAGTTTCCATGTTTGGCTGTTGCACATAAGGCTGTTACCAACATTTGTGTACATGGAATTTATGTGGACTTTTGTTCCAGTTTCTCGAGGATATGTATCTAGGAGTAGAATTAGGACAAATTGTAATTTTGATTTGTTTAATATTTTGAGGAACGGCCGCTTTAAAACAACTGCATTAGTTTTCATCTCTGTAAGCACTGTTTAATGCTTTCAACTTTTCTCCATGTTTCCCAACATTTGTCGTTTATGATCTGACCGATTATAGACATCTGATTGTGTCATGTTATTTCTTTCCTGATGGATGAGGTTGAGCATATTCTCATGTGCCTACTACACATTTGCATGCCATCTTAAAGAAATGCATGTGTTGGGCCTTTGCCAATATTTTTAAAGATTTGTTTTTTGTGTATTGACTTCGTTTATATTCATGTATGATACTTGTAGAGGCCAAAAGAGGGTGTCACCTCCCCTGGAGTTGGAGTTTCAGGCAGTTGCTAGCTGCCATAGGTACTTCGAACTGATGGTGGTGTTGTGTAAAAACAGAAAGTGCTCTTACCCTACCCAGTCTCCTTTATCCCTCATTACCATTGTTATTTGTACTGGACTGCCATTTGTAGACTTGGCTTTGGAGTATTAGATATTAGATGGACATAAATACCTGGAAAACAATGTTTATAATTCTTAAAACCATAAAATTAAAATAACAAATATAATAACTTAAAAATGAGGGATTTTAGATACAAAGGTCAGAAGCTGTTGATTTTCTGTGAGCAGCATGATTCTATGTGTCAACTTTGCACTTGTGAGCAGCTCGAGGATTTCTGCAAAGCACTTCCCAAATTTGTGCTAAAGGCAGCTGTTTTGCAGGAGCCCCATGATTACAATCCTTGCATCTCCATTGAGTTTGCACAATTTATCAAACAGTTTTTAAAAACTGTTTCCACAGGACCTTTTTACACATATGTGTAAACTTCTGATCTTTAGCTTGTCTGAGCACTTAGTTTGGATGATACTAACAGTGCTCAGCTGCATGTGTAATGTTACTGTTGTGTGTTACATGTCATGTTCAGGTGGTTTCTTTGATTGTCACAGTAAGGGTTGTCAGTTCTTTATGCTTCTTAAAGCTATCCTTAATAATAAGCTTTTCCAGCTCCTTAGAACCAACAGATTTTGAAGCTGCTTTGCCATTTGGAGGTACAGGTTTCTAAGAATAATGGAAAATATTTTTAGTTAGTTTTGCATTTAAACTGCAATAGCATTAATTTGGAAGTTTTATTTTAAGTGACATTTGTAAAAGGAAAGCAACATTCTAAGAATTTTACTATTAGGTGATTTTGTGCCTTCCTAATTGACTATTTACTGCAGAAAAACAGGGAAACTAGCAAGTTTTAAAATTATTAAATATTGTGCTGTACTTAGTCTTAACTTTTCTTTAAATGAAAGACATTCATACATGAATTTTAAAAAGCTCACACTTTATTGAAAGGCATAAAATATCCCCCTTTTAGCCTCCCCTCCCCAAATCACCAGGAGTTTTCCTTCAGTTAACTGTACAGTAATATCATGCTCCTTTGCAATTTGTTCCTTGAGCATCCTGTTTGGCCTCATAAAGTGCATGTTCAGTTTTGTATTTTCCCTTTTCAGTGACAGTATTCCAGGGTCTAAGTGTGTGAGGCTCACATACTTGGTGTTTTATTGTATTTCCATCAAGAAACAACACAGAGTGGCAGTGGAGTATGTGCCAACTAGGATGTTTCAGTTCCAAAGTGGAATTTGTGTTGTATATTAGTAACCTAAACTCCACAGGGAAAGGCTTTTTGGGCACTGCAGCAAGAGAGCGGGGGGTATTGTTGTTGCCTTGCCATACTTGTGCACTTGATCAGGCATGGCGGTGCATGCCTTTGACCCAGTACTTGGATAATAGAGGGAGGCAGATCTGTGAGTTCGAGGCCAGCCTGGTCTACAGAGCAAGTTTCAGGAAGCCAGAGAGATACATGGTAGAGAGACCCTATCTCAAAAACAAAGACTTGTGAATTTAAATTCAATCTATTAAACTGTAAAAATCAAATTATGTTTAGAAATAACACTTTAAACTCCATTACCATGCTTTCCCTCATCTTTACAGGTTGGGTTAGAATTAAACAAGTCAGATAGAGGCTGTTTTTAATGTAATAGTGTGAGGAAACCTTTTTCTTTACTGTATGCCACTTACTGTTCTGTTGCTGTGAATAGGCACCATGACCAAGGCAACTTATAAAGAAAGCCTTTCATTGTTGGACTCTTGTTTACAGTTTCAGAGGTTAGTTCATTATCACCATGCTGGGGACTATGGTCGTGTGCAGAAGGCATGTCCTTGGAGCAGTAGGTGAGAGCTTATATCTTATCCACAAATGAGAGTCAGAGAGAGACTGGACCTCGAAACCCATCCCCTGTGACACACCTCCTCCAACAAGGCCACACCTCTTAATCCTTCTCAGAACAGTTTCCCTAGCTTCAAATATTCAAATATATGATGTGAGAGACATTCTCATTCAAACCATCACACTGCACACATACATTTTATATAGGAATGTTAATATGCTATTGAAGTATGATTGTCATTGTTTGGATTTCTGCTTCTGTGATTTTTTTTTTTTTTTAAAGCCATGACCAGAAACAGCTTGAAGAAAGGGTTTATTTTGTCTCACATGTCCCCGTTGATCACAGTCCATCATGAAGGGGAGTCGAGGCAGGAACCTGGAGGCAGGAACTGAAGCAGAGGCTGTGGAGGAGTGCTGCTTACTGGCTTACTCCTCATGGCTCTCTCAGCTTGCTTTATTTATTATAGAACCCAGGACCGCCAGCCCTGGAGTGCCCCCTCCACAGTAGACTAGGCTCTCTCATATCAGTCACTAAGAATGTCCCACAGGCCTGCCCACCACATTTCCTCAATGGAGATTCTCCTCTCAGATGATTCTAGTTTATGCCAAGTTTACATAAAAATTAGCCAGCATAACACTTTTCTATTAACCAGAAATAGGGGAGATTGAGCTATTTATGATTGAGTTTTTGTTTTGTGTGCTTCCTTTATTACCAGAATCTTCCTGACATGTACCTTTTCTTGCTTGAACATTATTTGTACTGGTTTGTTTCCACTAATTATCTGTGGGAGAACTACCTTTAAATTACCTATTCTGGTTCCTTTCGTAAGGAGAGTCTAACATAAAATTAAGTTCTCAGTCAGTGATAAGCAGGGGTTTTGTTGAAAATAATCTAATCTTTCTTTGAGATTTGGTATGTAATGTACTGATTTTTCCCCCAATAAACTAACTGTTTATGCACTGTATTGTTTAAGACACATATAAAAAATTTTGGAAAACATATCAATAAAAAAAAAAAAAAAGACATTATAGAGGTGTTCACTCCTAATCCTTTTATACTGCAGATGCAGGAGTGGGTTTTCCTTCTTAATGTAAGAGTGGTGAGTTCTGGGCATCACACTTGCCTTATGTAATGGCCCTCGATGTGCGAGTGGCCAGGCCCCACCTCCAGACTCCCGAGAGCTGGGCCCAGCCCCACCGCCTAGATTCCTCTAACCACCTTAATGTCTGTCTCCTACCCTAGAGGTAGGAGAGTGGCCAGGCCCTGTCTACAGAAAAAAGCCCAAGATCACAATCTTTCTGATCCCAGGTCACCCAGGAAAGCTCCTCCTCCACAAGAAACCCTATAGAAAGCCTGCCTCCTCAGTTCTTTGCTGCTTCTCTCCTGAGCAGAAACAGCCAGCCACTCTCTCTCTCCTGTCCTTCCCAATAAATCTCTTTATAGGTATACACCTAAGATGGAAAGATGTTTTCGCAGTTGTGAGCCAAGGAATACTATCCACAAAGTCATACCACACAATGCACCTCACGTAAGAGATTGTTGGGAGGAAAAAACTCAGGGAAATCTGGGGGTGGGGCTTTGCCTTTGGAGCGCCTCAAGGACAGAGCCTAGCCAGTAGAGCTCCTCAGGCTGGCGGTCTGCCCACTTGTCTTGTGTGGCAGCTCAAGGTGCCACGCCTGGCATCTGGAGGTCTCCAGGGGTGGGGCTTATGATGGGAGTCTCTGCTACCCGATCTGCTGTGTGGCTGTTTGGGATTCCTTGGCTCTAGTCAGGACACCTTTCCCCCATCAGAGCTGGAACACATACCCTCTACTCTAGGACAGGACTTGGAGCACAAGGCTCATACTTAAACCTGTGACTACCAGTAGCTGCCCCCATCTTGCCTGTCTATATTAGTATTTTAACCATGCGTTTACATACATGCTTTCTTGAACCTTTAGGAAAAAATATAATTCTGAAACATTTTTGGTTTGCTTATAGATTGGTCAAAGAAAAAGTGATGTATGAAAAAGAAGCAAAGCAGCAAGAAGAAAAGATTGAAAAAATGAAGGCTGAAGATGGCGAAAACTATGCCATTAAGAAGCAGGTAAAGTGACCCTTGGGGAAAAGTGTGCTGACGTAGTCTTTATGACAGTGTCAGAGAAAGTACTGTTCCCTGTGGAAACTTCCATTTGAAGATAAGGAAACTGAGCTGGGGAGGAATGGCTATAATTTTGGCATTCAGAAAGTTGAGGCAGGAGGATTGCTACAAGTTGGAAGCCAGCCTGTGGACTAGTGGAGCCCTGTCACACAAACAACAACAACAACAAAATCCAGTAAACCCAGAAATAAAGCCCAACAAAGATAGAAAACAGAAACAAGTGAAATAACTGTAGCAGGTCACACAAACTCCCGCGTGTGAACACAAGAATTCCATGGTTGCTCTCTATCATGCAGCTCTACAGCGTCTCCAGTTCTAAGGATTAAATATAAAAATTATGTAGCATATGAAGTATAAGTTTAAATGCATGTTTTAATTCAGAAATAGCTCCCCAAACTGATGTGAAGACCATTAAAGTAAAATATATACTGTGTTTCTCATAATAGGTAAGGAAACTGATGCAGGCCAGAGGTTCATCTACAGTGAAGGGTAATGAAAGTGCTGTATGCACACAGTGGACTAGAACTCAAATTAAGATGATGTCATAAAATTTGCAGGAAATGTATGGAACTGGTTGGTTTGGGTAGTTACATACATTTTCCGTTCTTGTATTATAGTCGTTCCTGGACCTCTTCATTCTTTCAGTGGCTGCAGGAGCCATTCAGTGTAGTGCTTGGTGATTTCTGCCTACTCACTTGATCTTGCTAGAAGTGTATCCACTTCTTTAAGTCAACCTTTTGTTTTGCTGACTTTTCTCTCTGTAGTTTTCCTATTTATAATTTTATCAATTTGTACTTTTAATCACTTTAACTCCTTTGATTGTTTTGAGTTTATTTACTGCCTTTTTCTATTTGTTTTTTGTTGTTTTGGGGGAGGAGAGGTTGGTGTGTTTGGTTTTTGTTACTTTTGACAGGGTCTCAATATGTAGCCCTGGCTATCCTGGAACTGCCTAATTAGACCAGCCAGGCTTAAGTGCTGGTTCTTTTTTATATTTTTGAGGTAAAAACATAGATTGGAGAGCACTTATCCTTGCTGATGTGAGTATTCGGTGCTGCATTTCCATCCCAGCACTAGTTTGGTCTGGCTGCATCCCACAGTTTTTGGCCTTAGCCTTTCAAGTGCTAGGATTAAAGGTGTGTGCTACCTCTACCCTATTGACTCTAGTTGTAGTCAGAGCATGTGCTGTGTATGATTGTGTGGTTTTTAGGTTTTTGTTTTGTTTTCATTGTTTGACCTAGGACATGGTCTGCTGCAGTGTTTCATAGGGCTTACATGTATTTCCTTACTAATAGCTTACTGTGCTGGTGTCTATTTCATGCCTATCTTTGCTCATTTTTGTCTACTGTTTGTATAAATTGTTGAACATAAGTATGGAAATAGCCATCTAAAATGTGCGTTTGTCTGTTTATCTGTTCAGTCTGTACCCAGAATCATGCTGTCCTGATGTGCTGTAATGTTAGTCTGATGCTCCTTTGCCCCTAACAGCACTTCTTGCTCTGCAGCAGTCTACCCCATGCAGTATTAATGTCGTCACTTTACTGCAGTTGTTGTTGTTTTTAAGTTTCCACATCATTTTCCATCCTTTTATTTTCTGTTTCTTTATATCTGAAGTGAATCTCTTATGGATGGCATATGGTTGGGTACAGTCAGCCTATCTCCATACTTTAGAAGGTTTGTTTGCACCATTTACATTTCATGTTATTGCTGTACCAGTTTACACCCCCTTCTCCTTTTTTCCTCAGTGGATTCAGCAGTAACCAGACAAACACAGGTCAAACAGATTCCTAATTCACCACGCGAGCATGTTAACATCCTACCACTATTTAAAAGAAAAGACTTGGGCTGGAGAGATGGCTTAGAGGTTAAAAGAGAAGACTTAATTATAATGTCATAGTAATTTCGGAGTTCCATCTGACAAATGAATATGATTCTCATTGGCTCCAGAGACAGCTGATACTATTCTAAAGGCTGTAAACCCCTGGTTCCAAGAGCTGGCTTGCTCAGGAAGCTGCAAGCCTCACTCTAATCAGTCGCCAGACAGCCTAACATTGCCACATTGTTTCACAGAGGTCTTCCTGTGACAAAGAATTCTTATTGATTGCAATATTTCCTTTCAATTTTTGTTAAATTACAAAAGAAATTAATCAGCTTTTAGGTTCTGCAGTCTATAGATTGCCTAGTCTTTCCTAACTTCCATTTTACCAGAATACATACCCCAAAAAAGTTATAACTTGTTTTAAAATGCATCTCATGTCAGGGGACGTGGCATTCCATGGTGTTCCCCCAAGGTTCCTTATGTGTCCTGTGCTAAGACCCTGATTTCCCCTCAGATATAACGTAGTAAGCATTAGAATAAACCATGTAGTCAAGGCTTCTAAAGAAAGGTACCACTCATTGGAATCTCTGCTTTCCAAGGAAGATACTGTGAAAGAACAATACTCAGTTAAATTTGTATTTCATCTTGTTAAGTTGTTATTTCTGGTGGACAAAATCCCAGAAAGTGGGCACTAAGTTCCCACTCCTAGTTAAGAAACTGTTCCCAAATGAAAACTGCTGGGAGAAACAAAATCAGTTTCCTTTAATGGAGTGATATCAACTACAGTCCAGGGCAAGCTCAGGAGTAGTTAGCTAACACAATTTGGACTCCATGGTTTTTAGTGGCCTTTTTGTTTGTTTTTTAAAAACATGAACTTGGCTGGGTAGCAATTTGGGAAGGGCCTGGGAGGAGATGGGGGACAGGAAAGAATATGATAGTACTTATCCCTGGGGCAGTAGTAATTAATTGCTACAAGTGAAAGTATTCAACTTACAGATTTGATGCAGGTATGGCTTATGGTGTTTAAAAATTACATATGGCAAATATTCAATGCAGATTTTTGGGTTTTTGGTTTTTTTGTTTTGTTTTGTTTTTTTAAATTTCAGCCTACTGTAGATTAAACCTTCAGGTGTGGAACCTGTGGCGGTGGGGACTGACTGTAGAGGAAGTTTAGTGAATAATTGGGGTGGAATACAGGAGAATGAACTTTTGCACTGTTCTAGCTTGCTAGACTATCAGAAGAGATAAGAAAGAATAGAGGTTATGTTGCACAGTGCTGCTTAAAGTTCATTCAGTAACATTAAAGCTTGGGAAAAATGTAAAGATACATTGTGACTTGTATATGAGTTTGACCTAATTCTTTGTATTCATCTTTTTATTCATCATCTTATTTAATACCTGTAAGCTATTCTGCAGGAATTCCATAGGAGGGGAAATCTGAAATGTTCCTCTCCCCAGTTTTTCATACCAGATATACAAAAATAACTTAGTGGCATTGATTGAATGTCTATTTACCTGAGAGTAAAAAGTCATGCTCCTATGTTTGAGATTTTAACCCATGCTTTATTAGTAACCCAAGAAAATAGACATGCATAGAGTACCTGAACGCTGTAATGGTTGTATTACAGTATAAGCTATGACAGACTGTCAAGAAAGCAGGAAGATACTGGGACCTACGAAAGTTTCCATTATAATTCAGTATTTTTGCCATTAACGTGTGTAAATCTTGTTTTATTTGAGCTAGGTAATCTTGATTAATTTTGTACCCTTTTCTCTGAAAGCTTTTGATCGAACATATTTTGGGGGAAAAAAAAATTGTTACCATTATATCTCTCTTTGAGAATAATTAAGGAAACAAAGCTTTTGTACCAAGTGAAAAAAGGCTTATAATTCAACATCTTGACTGACTAGTGACCAATTTCCTAATTTTCTTTTGTGTTTTGATATACAATATTGCTTTAAGTGGTAGATTTTATGTCCAACATCTTTTAGAGTAAATGTGTTTCTGTGTTTGTCTTCATGTGGAATAGGCAGGAAGTTTGGATTCAGAGAGCACCACATTGATAATTTGTCTCAAACTGCTTGGGGAGAACAATCTGTCTCCTAAAATGAAGCACAAGGATAAGTAATAACTTTTTATGCATGATAAGCACCAAAATATGAACCTGCTGGTCTTTGCTTTTCATTTTTCTTTACCTCTGTCTTTCAGTGAGTCCCTCCTGCAGTGTGCACATGATGTGATCAATAACTCAATAACTTCTCTCATGCAGTAATTATCTCCCTGCAATATTATCTGAGCACTGTTTTCCTTTATTACCCAAAGATGCAGGAGATATTTATATGACCAGCTGATCCCATTTTAGATAAAGGTGCTTTGTGGCAGCAGGGGAATCATTTGCTTTAAATAGCCTTTTAAAATAAGAGCTGAATGAAAAGCTTTGCCAGTTAATTTTCACTTAACTATGAGGTGATTATCAAACAGGAGAAAAGTACAAAACTTCTGTGCAAGTTCCACTTAGAACTTGTACTTTGTAGATATTACAATATAATAAACCCAATTTAGAGGGTTGAATCATTAACATAATCATACTTTTTATTTCTTCCAAATCATTAGTTATATAAAGTAAATATTCATAGTTGTGTCATCTCGACCTGCCTCACAAATGTTGTCATGACAGGCAGAGATCCTGCAAGAGTCGAGGATGATGATCCCAGATTGCCAACGCCGGTTGGAAGCAGCATACACAGATCTTCAGCAAATACTAGTAAGTAAAGATTTGTCTCAGATTTTAAATTGTTTTCAACCTAATACATGGAAAACAAAATTTTTTAATATTTTACACTATAGCTAGTTGAAGTGATGTTTTATTCATTTGTTCATATGGTCTTACTTTCTCCTCTTGTATGATTACATATTCTTTGCTCAGAGTTCCAGGTCACAGTCCACCATAGTAGGAAGTCACGTGACTTGAGAGAGCCTAGTTATAGTGCATCCATAGTCAGGAACAGAATGTAGTGAATGTTTGTGTTCTTGTCTCCCCTGCTGAGGGAATGGTCCAGCCCACAATTAAGACATGTCTTCCCAAATCACTTAATATAATCAAGATAATCTCCCAGTGATGTGCTCAGACACTCACACTGACTTGGACAGCCCCTTACTGGCGTGTTGGAGGCTTGCCTCCTAGTTGATAGCTGGCAGTCAGCACTAACGGCCATGCCCTGTGTCAGCATGCTTTTAAATATTAAAGAGTGTAACTTGGGTTTGCATTATGTCTCCAGTAAAAGGACTTTTTTGTCATGTTTATTCTACTTACTTAATTAAATATCTGGGTATTTGAGCTATAATAACAAGTATACATACAGTGCCAGTTTTGACCAGCAGTATCTATTTGGTTTTGTGTGTGTGTGTGTGTGTGTGTGTGTGTGTGTGCATACTTTTTTGTTTTTAATTAACAGTGAGCCAAGTGCTCAAAATTGATTTAATTCAATGTTTCAAATTAATTTAGCCCTTGGAATTATTTTAGATTCAAACCTAAATTAATGTGAGAGAAAGGGAGAAAGAGGTAACAGCAGACAGTACCACCATGAAGCACATGGGTGGCACTACTGTAGTAACTGTACAGATGTTTGACAAACAGTGGTTAGTTGAGTTTATAAATGGATCAAAGTGTAAGGAAAAGTCACTTTTTAATAGTTAGACAGATGCACAGTGCAGTTATCTTAGTTCCACTTTTTGTTGCGGTGATAAAATACCTTGACAAAAGCAACTTCAGGAACAAAGAGCAGCTCAGTTCCAGGTTACAATCCATCGCTGCAGGAGCGGCAGGTGCAGGGTCACATCGCATCCACATGAAGAGCAAACGCAGTGACCTAATGTTCCGGTGGTTCTAGCGTGACCCAGAGTTCTAGAGCACGCCAGCTTGACACCCAGTGCAGCCGTCACAACTCTACCTCCTGTCTACTTGACACGCAGACACATCACTGCAAGCTGTGGCCTTCTTTCCCCTTTATCCCCCAAGTTTCATATTTACCTCCTAATGTAAAATCATGTAAAAATTTATCTTTAAATTTTCCAAGATTTTTAAAGGCTGGAGGCTTGTGACTGTGAGTTTCTATAAAATCAAATTAAGCTGTATACTATCAGCATAAAATAGTACAGAGTAAGTGTTCCTATTTGAAAATGGAAGAATAAGTGAAATTCCAGCACAGAAAACACCAAACCCTGCAACTCTTTGTCCCGCCTCTGGGGCTTATAATGAAACTGGCTGTGATCTAAAGGCTTAGGCAGCCCCACCCCACTCCAGCCCTGCAACCTACAGCACATAGGTTCTGTCAGCCCCACTCCACACCTACAGTTCTCCTTGAAGGATGCCCCAAGGTCCTGGCCTTGCCTTCCTTCTGGGGTCCCACTGCACCTTGAGCCCCAGCTTTGTTGCTCAGCCTCTCAGTGCCCCCTCCCACAAGGACTCCTCCATACCACACAGTGCCTGGCCTCGCTGTGCTCATTGACCCCTCCCACTTACATCTGTCATAACTTCAAAGCACATAACACATGGACAGTAGCCAAGTTCTGTTGACAGCCTTTTCCCTTTGGACCAGGACTGTGACTGACCTTGAAGATGGTTTTCTATGCAGTTGCTTTCCAGGAATAGGGAATGCCTTGGGCTTTCTTCTGTGAGTGAATTTGCATCTTCTCAAGGTGGAGCTTCTTAAGTGGTGTGGTTTTGCCTTTAGGACTGTCTTTTCATTCTCCCTGTACAGCACAGGAGGATTCTCACGCAACATTAGACAAATCTGTCCATTATCTTTACATTTAACTTCACTCAGGTTCTCAGAACAGCAGCAGAATGAAGCCAGATTGTTGGCTACAATGTCACAGGAATGGCCCCTAGCCCGGGGTTAAGGAATTGCTACCAGTCATCCGAATTTTTTTGCATTATTGTTCCTGGTAAACATACACATCATTCATTGTCTTTTTCGTAACTGTGTGCATCTTTTGTTGACCTTACACAATTGTTATGCATCACTACATTTAAAAATCAAAGGCTGGGGTGGTGGACCCAGGTTCAGTTCCCAGCACCATATGGCAGCTCACAACCAACCACAACTCCAGTTCCAGGGATCCAACACGTAATACAATAGTCAATACACATAATCAATACATAGAAAATAAGAACTTCTTTGAAATCAAAGTCTTCTATCTGAAAATTTAGGTACTTTTTCATTAGTCTGTTGCTACTATAATATTTTAGTGAAAGTTTCCTATAAGTGTGTATAAAACATCAGAAATTTGAGGATGTTTTGTTTGGTCTCAATATGTTACACTCTTTAATAAGCAGACAGCTTACTTTTCTAATTTGATTGTGTTTAACTTGTGTGACATGAATAACAGCTTTTGGCATTGGAAGTACTTAGAGTATTATTTATGATGATGCTCCTGTCATGTTGTTAACACATTAGCAAATCCTTGTTTTTTTACTTTCAATGCATTGTAAATAATCTTTTTGTATGATGATGTTGGCCAAGTAAGAATGATTGTTTTACATTTGTGTGAAGTTTTTATTTAATTACTTAATGCTAATAATTTTAGGAAACTGTGTTCTTAATTACAACATGAAAATACATAGTATGAGAATATATAGTAAAAATAAGCGAACTTCTCATTTCTTCCTTTCCTGATAACAAAGAGACAGAACTGTCATATATTTAGAAATCTAGAACCCTTTTCTTTAATTCTTGAGTTACTTACTGGTATGTAGTATAAACAGCAAAGTGTTGAAGCTCCTAAAGGACAAATTAATTTTGCTCTTCCTTTCAGGAAAGTGAAAAAGACTTGGAAGAAGCTGAGGAGTATAAAGAAGCACGTGTAGTTCTGGATTCAGTGAAGTTGGAAGCCTGAACTTTTTCAGTACGGGTGTTTTTTGCATTCAATCCTGGGGTCCACTCTACGATTTGTTATTTTTGACCATTGCTGTGTTTAGTAATATGAAAATGTGGTTCTTTTTATGCAGTTGCATATATTTTTCTTTGCATAACTTAATGTGTCAAATAAATGAGTTCATCTAATAAAATTGTTTATTTCATACTTTACTAAATTTTCAATTAACCACTTAGTTAAATGGTTGCCATTAAATTGCCTGTTTTTGACAGATGTCAGTTTCTGTATGAAGTTTAAATACTTCATAATCATACATTGGGTCTAAAAAGGTAGTCCATCAGCTAGGGAAGAGTAGGGAGGCACTCCATCTGTGCAGCTGTAGGAACCAGTGTCCCTGCTTTTTGGGCAAAGACTTTCCAGTGTGGACTTTGGCAAAGAGGCACCCAGGCCCTCCACCTATGCTCTGTAAGTGAGCCCAGTAAACTCATTGGTTCCCCAGATTGAATTTTGGTGGTATCATGCTTTGGTTTGTTGTTGGGCCCTTAGGATGAGGGCTACACTTTATATCTCGCCTGTAACTGGACTTTTTGGCTGTTTTATTGGGTATTTTTACCTACTATCCTTCTCCACCCCAATCCCTTCCAACACCCCAACACTAGATAGGTAAGAAAGAACGTTAGAGGGGGGAAAGGGGCATAGACCTCCTTAGACTACTTCCTGCTAATTAGGGGCATTGAGTTCATTGGTTCCAATTTGATCTTTACTGACAGGATATCCAGTTTCTTCAACTCATATATTTTTGTACAACGACTTGACAAACATCAACAAACTGCAGCAGCTGACTCTTCAGAGTGCCTCAAGCCCCTCTCAGGGTTCTGGCATTTATAAAGAGTCGCCAGAATTCTAGACTATGTTCAGCTGGCAAAATCATGCCCCTGGTAAAGCACGAGACAAATCATAGTCAGCTGCTATGAACAATCTGAAGCAGCTCCATATTTGACACCTGGGATTAAAACAAAAATATATTCACATAACATAACTGGGTTTTTAAAGAAACTGAAATTCTCACTACCTTCCCCTAGGAAGGAATTTTAGCAACATGATGACACAGCCAAACATGACTTATTTTTTACTTCCTATCCATTTTTGGTGTGGTATTAATGATGGAGCTAGAGCCTTAAACATGGTAGACAAGTGCTCAGCTACCAAGCTACTTCTCCAACTGCTTCCCCCCCCCCCCAAATACCCATCTCACTTATTTTCTTATATGCCTGGAACACGTGTGTAAACTTTATGGGCCCAGCCAAATATGAGCATTGATACAGTGAACCAGAACAGTATTAAATAACACAAGTTTAAACCCACAATGGAGGAAAGGTACAGTGCTGGAAAGTGCTGTGTGGGTTGGTCTGATGAATTCAGATCACTAGCAGACTATAGCATATTTACCAAAACTCAGGACTGGAGAAGAGAAAATTATACCTTTTCCTAGCATAGGAAGGTTTCTTCCTATCAGACTGCAGGATGTGCCCTCCTTCTGTCTTAGCCTCTCATTTGTACTTGGCTGTGGGGAGATCAACCCTAGTAAATCGTGTTTTCCCCACAGATCCCGACAGGAGCTTTCTGGTTGAGCTTTTGATTGTTTGCATTTATGAATGAGCGTTAATTTCCCAGTAAGTAGACTGTCCTTCCTTTAACCTGTATTGTACTGTGTCAACAATTCCTTAAAAAGAACTAGAAGTGGGGGGGGGGGGGGGGGGAGTGCACTGAAAATACGCACATGTTTATTCTATAAATAATGAAAGCTAGTTAATATACTGTTCATCTAACAGTTCTCACCTTTCTGGATAGTAACATTCAGAACCTAACATTTTACAATTGCCTATAACTATGCACTGAATCTTCCAAATTGAGTAGTCAAACCTGTTTAAATCACTTTGCAAAACTTCATCATATTAGTGAGCTTTTTAAAAATCCCATTGGACTTAATAAGGACATATCCTAGAACTGGTTATCATTTAAATCTTATTATTTGGCCATTTTAGACAAACCAAGGATAGATTAATCCTTTCTTTGAACGGTGAATTGGGGGGCTTTAAATGTCAGTAGAAATTTGACATGTATGAGAGAGCAAGGGTTCTGAAGCCTTTGGCATTAAAGAGTTAATCAGATTATTTAGTCCTTGAAGCCCTGTTGAGTGTGTTAGCTGGAAAGGAATTGAATGGTTCAGAAATAGTGTACTGTGAAACAAATTAGAAGTATTAGTGTACTTGAAATTCAAGAGTGCTTCTTAAAATCCACATCGCACTCCACTCGTCATGTTCTGTTCTTATGAGAAGTACTTTTCAGACACTCACAGACAGGTAGACCTGTGCCTGCCTTCTATTTTGTGCCTTCTGATGGGCAGTTGGTGTGATGCGTTCATATTTTTCAAGGGAAATATTTTCATTATATCATAAGATACTGTTATTGCACAATGTTTTCAAATTAATACAGATTTTTTTCAATAGATGAAGAATAAAAACAAATGCTTCCAAAGTGAATAAATTGTAATAAATAAAAAAATATATTAAAAAACAAAACAAAAAAACCCACATGCTTCACAGAGGAAGAAATGCAAATGGATAGTTGTGTTTCTGCTGTTCAACTGCAGTAGTAATTAGTTTCAAATTGGAAATGTTGTTGGCCTGGTGTACTTAGTATCAGTCAGTGAGACTAGATAAGGGAAGGAATACGATACTGGAGAAGCTATGTCATTCTCCTCACAAGCAGCTGCTAAGTAACAGGAAAGCGCAAGTACAATAAAGCTGCCTGTGCAATAAGTTAAATTAACACAGGCACTTGCGAAATTACACAACACTGAAGGCTTAGATTATGTCACCCAAAAACAGACATGTTGATGACCTAACCTCCAGAACTTGAGAATGAAGCTGTATTTGTAAATGGAATTCTTATAGAAAGAGATAAAACCATTGATTAACCCAATATCCTAGTAAAATGAGACGACAGGACAGGGCCAGAGGAAATGAAAGGGGTGTCTCTGTGAGCTATGGTGTGGCCCTGGTGATGCAGAAATGAAGAGACAGGCATGGAGTATTCTCATCGTGTCCACTGATACCCTGCGGGTGCCCACGACTGTCTTCACACCGAGGCTGTTCTTCCAGCAGTCTTAGAACACATGTGGCAGCATGACCAAACAGAAAAGAACTGAGCTCTGTAGTTACTTTAAAAGGAACTATATCTGGAAAAAATAACTGAAAAAATGTTATTTCTTATGTCAATCTACAGTCTAAATTTAATGAAAAATATGCAGTAGGGTTTGGAGCAAGGAAGAGATTGTAGGGAATGACTATACAAAATCCAATCAAGAGGTTCTTTGCTCTGGCTGGGAGGAATGATGAAAAAGAATGAGAGAACTGAGCTCCACCTATTAGAATTCCTAAGTAACATCAAAATAGGTGCCTATTGTGTGCAAGGACCTGGGTTTAACCTGCGTCACTCAAGCACACAAGAGTACACAGACATGCTTCCTAAAGAGACAGTGGGCTCAGGAGCAAATTATATGTAATAAATATGGAAGTATATACAAAGTTACATGTATGAATTCAGTGTATGATAGAGGCTTTTTCAGATTCCTGGATAAGAAGTAGATTATTCAATGACTAGCAATCTGGAAAACAAAATATGTCTACATAAAATGATTTCAATATGAAAAAGAAAAAGCTAGAAGAAGACACTGATAAAGAAATTTTCAGTTGGTGCAGTAAGCAGGGAAGGGGGAATTTGATGAACTGTCAGGAGAATATTTGAAGATTCTCCACAACGTAATGTAGAGAGGTGCATCCCAGCCTGTATAAAGATAGAAAAATAAGCAGGAGACCACTAGGAACGTCTAAACGTGGACAGGCCGGGTCCGGAGAGTGCAGGAAACTGTTCTAAAGCTGTCGTGTTGGAGCTGAGGCTAGGATCTCAGCACACAAGCATTAGTCTTTTTCTGGGAACTGTGAGGTTCACCAAGTTCTTCCCAGATCTGTTTTAATTCAAACACTACAGATCCCTAGCTCACTCCTCCAGCAAGTGTCCCCTCACACATACTCCATTTGACCCTTCTCCCTGATTACACACAATTTAAGGGTATTCTTGGGTCCTGAATTCAGGGTTAGCATGTAGGGTAAATTGCATACAAGGAAAAGCCTGTGGTACATCTGCTTCACAAGTCTGAGGCACGATCAAGGACAGTTAAGACAGCAATGACTGGAGGTGGCTCAGTGGTAGAACACCTCCTCGAGTGCTAACGAGCCTACGTTCAGTTGTCAGCACCACTAAACGCCATCTCCGGGTAGACAGCGTCATCTCCACAGCTCAAATCTTGGATTATCAGCTATGTTTCAGCAAATGATATAATTTCACAAATAGAACCAACTGATAAATGAAAGCAGAAGGTAAAGGCTGCCAGCGGCTGGATGCTTACATAGAGACGGGAGAGGACAGCTGCTGCCCCTAGCACTGAGCCAGGCCTGATGGCCATGTGGATCTACACAGGGAAAGGAAAATGGGGACTGCTGCTTCAGATGGAATGTGAGCATGCGAGTACAGAAAGTATTCCCAAGTCTCCCCTTTGTCTCCTGAGGGTGGGTTAAGTAATCAGAGATAGAAATGAGGCAATTTTTATATTAAACTACTTACTCATATTTTAGAAAAGGATTTTTTAACAACAAAAGTCTTAGACATCAGTAGGAAGCATCAAGCCTCTGTTTAGAAATAAATGGACAGATAGCATGGAAAGCTGATGCATAAAGGAAGTACAGAGCCGTAGAGGCCGCCTGCTGCCAAGTCAACCAGAGTCAAGCCCTGGGACCCACATGGTGAAGGGAAAGAACGCACTCCCGAAAGCTCTCCTCTGCTCCCCACGTGCACATTGTGGCACGCGCTTACCTACCTGTTCACACTCGAAGTACAGCTGGGCCTGGTGGCACACGCCTGTAATCCCGTGCCTGTAAAAGGAGAGTCAGGACTCCAAGCTCATCCTCAGCCTTAGAAGGAGTTTCATGCTTGCCTGGGCTACATCAGACTGTCAAAAAGAAAAAAGCACCACAGACTAAGGGGCCTAACAAGCGACGTGAATAACAAGAGAATGAAAATTTGAATGAGATTCCTCTCCCCTCTCCCCAATCAACTCAGCAAGGAATTTTAAAAATTCTTAGATA